AATGGCACATGGACCGATTACTGGTCACCGTCTACCATGGGACTGCATCTTCTGATGTTGCTCCACCGCCTTGTGGATCGGACCTTTAGTTAGAAGGCTCCGCGTGTGACCCCCTAATAAAACCACCTGCTTCGGTTTGAGCGCCCGGGAAGTATCATACCCTACACACAAATCAAGTGACTTGTGTGGCGCATATGTATTCGGTGCCTCTTTGTACCAAAATTTATGTGCTCAAATAAAATAAAATAAACAACCATTATGATAAAATCATATATATTTGCAAATCTGGCAACTTTTCATTCATTTATCCCGGTCTATGTCATCCCATGATGTCGCCATACCTGGTGTTGTCCATCCTGAATTCGGTATTTAGGTTTCTCATCAGGATGGTTAGGACCTTTGGTGGGTACTTCTCTATGATCGACTGCAGTCTCTCATAAAAATGATCTTTCATGTCTGCACTGTTATCACTGGTAAGCACATAGCACTGGATGACATTCATTGTGATCCCTTTCATCTTCGTTTTGAAGGATGCTTTGATGATCCTAGATCTATGAGATTCCCATTTTTTAAGAGCTTTCTGTATTTTTTTGGAGGACATCCGTCCAACTTCTTGTTTGTGCAAGTCACTTTCTTTTTCGTGACTAGAATACAAGAGAACTTCTCCCGAAACTTGTTTTCTTTTCTATTCGGATTCTGTCCAATGGGTTTCACTGATTCCAAGCAGATCAATGTTCTCAGTCCCGCAGTTGTTTGAATGGCCTCCCACATTATACGGACATTAATGTCACCTACCTCAATTGTGTTCTGGTTGTCAGAAAGGGGATCACCTCGTGACTTCCGAGGAATTTCGGCTTTTGCAATGATGCGCCATAACTCTCTCAAATGCAGACCCTTTAACTTCAAGGGCAGAGTTTAAATAGCCAGACTTTTCTACCAAGGTTCGTCTTTACGAGGTGAGGTTGCTAATCCCACATCCAACCCTCCTCCTTTATCCGGTCTTGGAACCAACCGCAACACTGAAGGGCTCCAGGAGAAGTTTTTTCCGACACATACTAGAGCATGTAGTTTATGACTCTAATCGTAGACTCAAAATCACTCAATAGCTAGCCATTTTTGTCATCTCTCAAGTATCGTTTGGCCTCGAGATAGCATGTGGGTTTTGGAATTTGATACGTCTAGATTTACTCAGCCTATCACTAGTTTAGCTTTATCTCTAAGATCAACTGAAAGCACGGGATAGTTATTTTGTTTTAGTATGAATCGCCTTAAAACTATTCACTTATCAAACGATATCAGATTAAGCCAAGGATCTTGAGATCTCATGCTGAGTGCAGTACCTTTATAACACTGACTTCCAATTTAATGATTTATATTTCTAATTCTAATCAATATGAAGACTGATTGACACTATCGACGATAGATGTCTCACTTCTGATATTGGTTTAAATCTGGCGATGGATTCATGCTGCTAAAAATTCCAGCTCGGTAGGTTAACGCTGACATATTCATTGCAAGATATGAAAGATCAATATAAAATATGCACAACTGAGAAATCTTTACCACGGATGAAAGAACCATCAAGAGCTCTCTAGTTTTTGATGATTTTTCAAAGGATGATATTATTGTACATATTTCTACTTCACTAACAATAATTTCACCAATTCCATCACTATAACAATAATAATATTTCAATAGTTGAGATCATGAACCGACTGAAGTTAGACCAAAATGGAAAACCTGGAAGCACTGGACCGCCGTTTCGTCCTATTGTGTGACTCCTCAGTGGCAGTGCCTATCCACGATCTCGCTCGCGGGATTCGAACACGTTGGGTGTCGGCCGCCTGAGTGGTCTAGTAGTTAGTCGCTCATGCGTGGAACTGATGGGTCATGGGTTCGAATCTCGCGAGGCGGAATCGTGGATGCGCACTGCCACTGAGGAGTCCCACAATAGGATGAAACGGCCTTCCAGTGCTTCTAGTTTTTCCATGGTGGTCTAACTTCAATTTACTCATGATCTCAACTATTGAATTACTGCAATCTTTATTATTATTATTAATCATCAAGTCATGTTTGTATTTGGTTGTTTGCAACTTATCACTTCATGTTTAGGACTGCAATTAATCAGTTTCTTATTGGTATACGTGCATCCTGTAAAGATTGCCCCGGTATTGCCTTAAGTCATTTGCAGCCCTAAACATCAATGGAAAGATTCAAATAAACAGTACAAAAATTAGTGTAAACTTCACTCTACTACATAAACTAGTTACCACCTGGAATCAGTAACTAAGTGGATATCGTGATGACGTTTGAAGCGAATAGTACTGTACTGGGTTGGAGTTCCGGAGTCGACATCAATTGTAGGATGAAGGTACATCCAGCCAAAGAGTCCCTAAACATACAATCAAATTGTACTTATTCAATATATATTCCATAAACGCCACTCAGCAGTTACTAGCTTACTTACTTACTGACGCCTGTTACTTCTCGTGAAGGAGCACAAGCCAACCACCAGCATTCTCCATCCAACCCTGTCCTGGACAATCATTTCTAGCTCCTTCCACTTATTATTCATCCTTTTCATATCTGATTCTATTTCCCGACGTAATGTGTTCTTTGAACTTCCTCCTTTCCACTCCCCTTCAGGATCCCAAGTTAGGGCTTGCCTCGGGATGCAGTTTGATGATTTGCGTAATGTATGTCTTATCCATTTCCAACGTCTTCTCCCAACTTCCTCTTCAGCTGGAAGCTGATTTATTCTCTCCCAGAGAAGGCTGATACTGATGATATCCGACCAATGGATGTTGAGTATCTTCCGTAGACAACTATTTATAAATACTTGTACCTTCTTGCTGATGGTTGTAATAGTTCTCCAAATTTGAGCTCCGTACAGTAGAACTGATTGTGTTGACGTTCGTATTGAAGATTCTGGCTTTGATATTGTCTTGCAGACAGTTGCTTTCAGTGCCATGTGTGGTTCAATTGTAGGAATTCGGTCCATGCTTTGCCAATCTTCGCCTCTTCGTCTGCATCTGATCCTCCTTGTTCACCGATAATTCTACATCTTCCAGAGTTTCGCCATCAAGTGTGATTGGATCGTTGTTCTCCATGTTGTATTTGAGGACCTTTGTTTCCTCCTTGTGTATGTTGAGGCCTACTGATTCAGAGACTGTTGCTACATTGGCTGTCTTAATCTGCATTTTTTCGTGTGTATGCGATAAGATGGCTAGGTCATCTGCGAAGTCCAAATCGTCTAATTGGTTCTGAGCTGTCCATTGTATTCCGTGCTTCCTGTCAGATGTTGAGGTCTTCATTATCCAGTCGACCACCAGAAGAAAGAGGAAAGTAGAGATTAGACAGCCTTGTCTGGCGCCGGTCGTTACTTAGAATGCATCTGTCAGCTGTCCTCCATGCACGACTTTGCACTGTAGTTCGCCCTATGAGTTCCGGATAATATTGGCAATCTTCTCAGGAACTCCATAGTGTCGAAGAAATTTCTATAATGTTCTCCTATCTACACTGTCAAACGTCTTTTCATAATAAATGAAGTTCATGTACAGTGACGAGTTCCACTCAACTGATTGTTCGAAGATGATCCGTAGTGTGGCAATTTGGTCTGTGCACGACCGATCCTTACGGAATCCAACCTGTTGATCTCGAAGTCTACTGCGTCTTTCTCACTCAGCAGTTAGAATCTGCCATTCATCACCATCAGGCAAAGTAAGTTTATTACTAATTCAGCTGTTACAACTATGTTATAATCCACTAACTATAATTAGTGCTTGAATTTCAGTAGAATCGATTCTACAAAGGATAAATAATGAAGGAAAGTATATAAAAAAACCCATGACACTTCTGTTTGGAATGATCTCAGTAATTAATATTGAAATAAGTTGTAGGCTTTTTATTAAAGTATAATTACATAATAGGTGACTGAATCGTTTTAACTGGACGCTCCTATTCATCAAATGATAGTAGACAATGCAATAGTATCTAATACCTATTATTTGAAATTTGTTAACTATTATAAGCAAAGATGGATAATGATTAGCAGTGAAATATAGTTTAACCCGCGTTTCGTCCTATTTGGGACTATTCAGAGTTGATGTTCACTCTGGGACTTGAACCAAATACATTACCGTTCACTTCAATCAATGATAAGATTCAAGTAAACAATACCAAGTAAATTGTTAATTACAGAAGGGGTTTTGTGGATGTTATATTAATTTTAACAGTTGAGATCATGAGTAAATTAAAGCTAGACCACAATAGAAAACCTGGAAGTACTGAATGGCCGTTTGATCCTATTGTGGGACTCATCAGTGGCAGTGCGCATCCATTATACCTCACCAAAAGGCCTCAAACCCAGGACCTATCGGTTTCACGGGCGGACGCTTAATCTCTAGACATCCAATGATATTTAAATAGAGCAAGAACAAACATTGATGCATCAATGTTTGTTCTTGCTCTATTTAAATTCATAAAGGGAACCAATTGCATGAAATTTCCAATGATATTAATGTCTAACTTCAACTAATCCACGATATTGAGTGACATATCCACCATTGTCATCAGTGAGTTATTATTTCACAACCGACCCGGTTGAACTCCACTAGTCACTGATTCTCACTAAAACTCCAGGAAATACCTCTTGAAACCAGTCACTAGTGAGCATATGTTGATTAATATCAGAAGGGGTTTTGTGGATATTATGGTAATTCTAATAGTTAAGATCATAAATCAATTGAAGCTAGACCACCATTGCAAAACCTGAAAGCACTTGACAGCCATTTCATCCTAGTATGGTACTCCTCATCAGTACACCTCCACGATCCCGACATTGCAAGATTCGAACCCAGAACCTATGATAATATAAGGTATTATCATGAATGATTTTTTTACATCTAATTAAGTTGATTGACTAGACGGAAATGACTAAACTAAATTCATCTAGTCTAGACTGATTATATTCCATTTTCTAATTCTTCAAATTAACAAACCTTTTTCTCTACACAATGATTATTCTGAATAGAATGACTCATATCTAATGAATAGAAACCATTCAATGAATTTGAGAAGTGTTTTGTTGTTGTTTACCCCTTCCTCTCTCTCTCTCACACACACTCTCTGATAGTGTTTCTATTCTCTTCAATCTATATCCATGATCATGTGTAAAAAATCTTTGTCAAATCCCTATGCTTCTAAAGATTCACATAGATATTGATAATAAAAAAAAGAAGAGAATAACCTAGACACTATGAAACAGTTTCCCCTTATTGATATTCCATATAGAGAACAGCGATTACCCTTTTTTGCGTGTATGTATGTGCGTGTGCGTGTGTGTATCTGTCAATGAGTAATCGTAATGTATTTTGTTAATTCATGTGTAAAAAAGACACACACGCACACAAGAGAGAGAGAGGGAGGGGTAGAACAAAAAAAACAAGAATACAATAAAGGATATGATAGAGGAAACCCCCCCCAAAAAAAAAGAAGAAAATTTGCTAATACAATATACACAATATACATGGTATTAAAACTAAATTAGGATTAGACTGTCAAATGGATAATAAAAGAGAAACAACTACTGACAAGTTGATACATTTTTTATTATTAATATATTACTAAAATTAGAATTTAAGTAGTTTCACACGAAAAAAGCGCATAGAGAAAATGATGGAGATAGATAGAGGGTGAAAGGGTGTGTGTGTGTGAGGGAGAGAGAGAGAGGGTGATGCAAATGGAAAGAACTAGACTCTAGGATTTAAAAAAAAGACAGAGAAGTAAAGAGACTAGAGAAACAAATTCACAGTCATGAGAATATAGATTGGGCTTAACTTTGAAGCCACATGTTATATTCCATTCATATTCTATTGCTCAGACAAATGTATTCATGCTCTCTCTCTATCATTTACATCAAGTAATGAATAATGAATCATCAAAAGTACAAATGTAAAGAAGAAAAAAGCACATTGAATACGTATATTTTCAATCATCAATAGAGAATTCGGTAACTACTAATTACTTAGTACTTACTTACTCCTGTGAACCATTATGGAGGAGCATAATCTAACCATCAGCATTCTTTATGCGACTCTGTCCTGGAGAATTCTTCCTAGTTGTGACTCATCCTATTCATGTGTACTTTCGATTCCCGATGAAGTGCGTCCTTTGATTTTCGTCTATTTCGTTTTCCTTCAGGATTCCAAGTTAGCACCTAACTTGTGATGCAGTTTGATGATTTTCGTAATATGTATCGTATCTACATCCATCGTCTTTTCTTAATTTCCTCTTCAGCTGCAAGTTGGTTTATTCTCTCCTATAATAGGCTGTTGCTGATAGTATTCGGTCAATGGACATTTAGTATCTTACGAAGACAATTATTTATAAATACTTGTATTTCGATGATGATGGTTGTTGTAGTTCTCTAAGTTTCATTTCCGTACAGTGGAACTGTCTTGATGTTTGTATTGAAGATTGTGACTTTTATGTTAGTTGACAGTTGTTTTGAGTACCATATAATCTTCAACTGTAGGAATGCTGTTCTTGGTTTGCCAATCCTCCTTGTTTATCAATGGTACTGCTCAGGTACGTGAAAGTTTTCACATTTTCCAGAGCATTGCCAGCAAGTGTGATTGGGTTGATGTTTTTCATGTTATATTTGAGGATCTTGCTTCTTCTTTTGTGTACGTTGAGACCTACTGCTACTACACCGACTATCTTCACCTACATTTGTGTGCTGTGTATAGGATCTACACGTGTTAGTCATTAGTCACAATCGAAGTAGAATCTGACACACCCACATTACCTTGTTCAAATATGAAAATCATACATTAAATACACCATTTGCACATCATCTTTGCACTGTCCTTTAAATAATCCATCATTCCTTTAATTTCATTGTTATTTTGATTGCTCTTCGATTTCGTTTCTGTTTTTTTCAATTCAATCTTCTGCTATCACGCATTCCATTTACGATTAAGTCTTCATACTACTTATGTCTGTCAGAATAAGTAGCATGCACTACAATAACATCAGTGGTAATAAAAATGATTAGGCATAGACAAAATGAGTTGAGATTAAACAATAAATTTATGGAATGTAAAGTTTTAGAGCGTCTTATAACCTATAAACTAAAGAGAAAACAAAGAGTAAATAAGCAAGGTTGGATAGTGGCTAGCAGTGGAATCCAGAATGCGCGTTTCATCCTATTTGGGACTGGTCAGCTGGATGTACCTCCATCTCAGAGTTTATGTTCACTCTGGGACTCGAACCCGGTACCGTACACTTAAAACGCCATCACGTTATTCACTTAGATAATGAGTCCTGATAGCCAGAGTAGAGATATCCAATTATTCATTGGATCTCTATTCATGTTCATTCAATAAGTCTTCTAAATAAGGGTTATACAAACAAGAGTCTGATCGTTCACTTACATTTCATTGCATTCTGTAGTTTATATTCATAAAATGATCTTCATCAAACAGCAATTCTCAATTACGAACTACTTTTCAATGTGAATCCACTGTTGATCAAATTCATCATTAATGAAACACATTGGAATGTTTTATTCAACTTGACAACGTTTCAAGTTTCTCATTCAACTAAAATCTCTTCATTCAATATGACCTTTATTCAATTCTCTTTGTTCTCTTACTTCTATTTCTTCTTCTTCATCACATTTGATAGACTCATGCAACATACTTTGATCAATGATCAATGATTACGTAATCTGTCATTTATGTAAATGAACTTAAGATGAATTAGATTCATTCTATTTTGTCTTTGTACTTTTATAAGAAAACGAATAATGATGTAATAGATTTATAGAAATGTTTTATGTTTAATCAACCATTAATTTAAGACATCGGATTACATTTTTAAAAAATGCCGTGACTAGTGGAGTTAATCCGTGTAGGGTAGAAACAAGTGTCTACCTCAGTACAATGGAAGATGGTTGTACAACTTCGTGGTTTGGTTGAGGTTAGACATTACCACCATTGGATGCCGGCCGGCTCAATGGTCCAATAGGTTAAGCGTTCGCGCGTGAGACTGAAAAGCCCTGGGTTCGAGTCCCGCGAGCGGGATCATAGGTGCGCACTACTGAAAAGTTCCACAATAGAACAAAACGGCCATCCAGTATTTCCAGGTATTAAATGGTGATCTAACATCAATCAGTTCATGATCTCAATCAATACTTAACAATCTCCACAACCCGTATACTGAATAAATACTATTGAAATATACTACTGAATAATTGATTTCTATGTTGGTTGTTTAATGTTTACAACTTCAATGGATCAATCTCTTTCGAGATGGATTTCAGTTATAAACATTATAAGCTGAAATCATGAGATGGAGTGAGCAGTCATTAAATGAACATCCAGTTGACGAGTCCCAAGTAGGATGAAACGTGAGTTCTGAATTACACTGTTAGCCAATATCATCTCAGCTTATAATAGTACTGAATCATTTAAGTAGTTTTTCATGTGTTATGTAACAATTCGGAAGACTCCCCCGGTCTCCCATATTGCACCAACATTCTATGTACCTAAATAAATGGTTGCTCTGGTCGTTGGAAGGGGCATCAGATTCGTGACTTCCGAAGAAATTCTACTTTCATCATGAGGCGTCATAACTCTTCTAAATGAAGACCATCTGACTCCAAGGACAGAGCTTAAATGGTTTGAATTATTTTTTTCTGGTTACTATTTCTTTTAGCCAGTTAGTTTTCTACGGGATGAGGTCTTTAACCAAATGCTCAACCCTCCTCCTTTATCCGGGCTCGTGACCGACAGTAGCCCCGGGGCGGGAGGGGCTCCAGGCGGAGTTATGCACTGAATTCCATTTTCACCATATTTTCATCGTTGTAACATACATGTATTTCATTCTGTTGATCTATAATTTGTAAAATGCATGTATGACGTTGCATCATTATCTCGATTTTAAACGGTCAAAAGTAATTCCTACCTAATCTTAACTTTATACTCATTGGCACTTATTATTAAAGGCAGATTGGTATTCTTAAGAGAATTGATGATTGGAGTGGGCTCCGAAACCGTATCATTTTATATCACAACCAAGGATGTCACCAATTTTATGTCTTCTTAGTTTTGGATAAATCTTATCCTTTGTCACTGGATAGAAGAGTCTAACTGAACCAATCTGAATGATATAAGGCAAGTTAATACATCTATGTTGAAGTATTTGATACAGTAAATAAAGTAATCGAAATTTACTGGTACACCTTACTGAAGAGTTCCAAGTAGCACAAGATCTGGGTCCAGGGTTTCCTGCTGACTACCTGCAAACACCATCTAATTTCACAATAGTGCACGCAGTGTCGAGTCACATAGACTGGTGGCCACATTGCAACATGATCGATAGCATTCGATCTGCACTAATAAGGACTAGACAAGCATGACATTGATCACCACCCAGTGATCAATCAATTATGATTGAATCTCAGTCCTACAGGAGGTCGGTCGTGGCCCGGATAGCTCGGTGGTAACGTCTTTAACTGTGAAGTTGGGTGGCACGGGATCGAATCTGTCACAGAGCACCAGTTCCCTCAAGATTACTGGTACACCTTGCTGACGAGTGTCAAATAGCACGACTCTTCATCCAGATTTACCTGCATCTCAGAGTTGATATCCACTCTCGAACTCGAACCCAGCACAGTACCTTTCGCTTCATATATGACCACTTTATCTACTTATTTACTGAGTCCTGATATGAATTTCTATACAGTAGTAATCTTAAGTCAAAAGTTACATTTTCACTTCCTATCTTTTATTTTTACTATAAAATTCTACTTACTCATGAGTAGGAAAGTAAATTCTACAAAATTTGGTTTTTATTTTTAGTATATGAACTGACTAATTGATTGGATTATTTTTCTGGTAAGCAAAGGGAAAACCAAAGTCCTCAAATTCAAAGCGGAAAACAACAATCCAATCACTCTTGATGGCGAAAGTTTGGAAAATGTAGAGTCCTTCACATACCTAGGAAGCATCATCGATGAACAAGGAGGTTCGGATGC